CCTTTAGAAATGCTAATTCTTTTCAAACTTTGTCTTCCCATCCTTGTTCAATAGTGATCAATTCCTCTTAGGTTGTTTCTTCTGTGTGCAGTTTTAATCCTCCCTCTGGGTCAGGAGCAGTGCAGCTGAGGTACGGCTGGCCGCTGCATGCTTGATGCACATACCCTGTTCTGGGATGCAGGTGCTCCTCTGCCTCCTGTGGCTGGGTAATAACTTCCCGGTGGGACTTGAAGGAACTGGCACTGCCCTATTACACTCCTCCATGGCTTTACTTCTGGCAACTTCAACAGCTTTTGCTCTCCCTGCATGACATTATTACAGCTGCGCTCAGCAGACCTGACTTTGCTGGAATGCCCTCAATAAACACAGGAAAGCTGGCACACACTTCTCTCCAAGGGGTTTGTGGCTCTGCTTCACTTTGAGCTCAGCCTGCCAGCAATGGGGTTTGTTAACCTCCCGGCAGCCTGAGAACCACCCGGCTCCAGGCACTCCAGCAGGGCTGCCCCATGGTCTGCCAGGAAGAGGAAGGTTTTGGTGGAGACTGATGGTGCTTGAGGAGGTGTTCTCTGGTTGGTATTAGCTCACTTTGCTTGCATTTTGCTCTATGGATTTTCAATAACTTTGATAGAAGAGCATATGTTGAAAAAGCAGAATTAAGACACAGTGGTGACATTTTTCTCCATTATTTTTTATCTCGGTCTAAGCAGGGATACAAATGGTAGCAAAAGGTTTTAGTACTTAATAACACAGCTTTCCTTGAAAACGTTCTGTAACAGCTATTGAAATGTTTTGCTAACAGAAGTCATGCAGCAGCACCTGTGAGGCTTCTGACATTAGTCTTCATCCTTTGAAGGAAGGGAAATTGGGTTGGTTTTGGAAGAAAACCATGGCGTGGGCTATTAGAGGGCTGCCTGCTGGGAGGGATATGTGCTGTAGCACCGCTACTGCATGAGAGCACAGGCCAGCACCAAACAGTCCCCAAAGCAGCCTGCCAGCTCTGGAAGGTAGTCCCCAGCGTGGCAGCTACTGTCCTGCAAGTGTCCCTCTTGCTCCAGCCTCTCTCAGCTGCCCTCCCACTGTGCTGCTCACCTGCGAGGTCATGGTGTGAAGGCAGGGCTCTTGACATGGCACATGCCCATTGCTGCACTGGGAGCAGAGGTGGTGCCTGCAGAGCCTCTCCTTACTGAATGGCTGTTGCAGTGCTACTGGGACTGCTGAGCTTGTGCCCCAGTCCAGAATCTCCCAAAAAGATGTACAAAGGACTCTTTCGGAGGTTGTCCTCACCTGATCCCAGTACCATACAAGCAGGAAGAGGTTGAAGGTGTTACTTCCCTGAAGCCAAGGAGAAGTGTCAGGTGCCATGTGATGACTAAGGCTCACACACTCATTACTTCTATCAGTTAGAGCTCTTAATCATTTTGTGCTGTTTCATTTTGTAACGTGAATTCACTTCAAGCTGTGAAATTCACCATTTTTGCCATGACTAATTTGTGAAATCTGCCACCTTCTTTTATGATTTGCTTTGTGCCCTAGTTAGGCATCATCTGTCTGAATAGGGAAATCTGTTATTTGCTTCTTGCAGTCGAGCCAATACAATTTTATTCCCTTCCTTTCTCCTCTCCACTCTCAACTGTGATTTCATCATTTCTGTCTTTCCATGGGAACAGAGCAGCGTGGAAGCCATCTTTGCTGGGATCGCACGCGGTGAGCCTGCCTTTCCTCTTTTGCGTAAGGTGTGGGCTGGGCTCAGTCTTGCATGGACTGAAACCAATCTGAAGATCTACCCTGACTTTGGCTAAAGCCACTTACATCTATTATTTCATGTTTACTATCTAAAGGCATTTCTTCCCGCCTGGTTAATGCAATATTTTGGAAGTCATTTCCCACCTGCCTTGCTAGTGCCTTGTTTCACAATGCGTTCATCTGTTACTCTTTATACTGAGCGTTGCTGGCATTACTAAATGCTATAAATATACCCAGTATACCATAAAAATACACAAGCAGCTGACTGGCCCTGCCTGCAAGAGATACTATTAATCTTTCATTTTTCACATGCTCTGGGCAAGATCCAGAGGGTGCTTGAGAAACATTTAACAGAACTGGGTCCTAAATTTTGATTTTCTCAATGATTGGTTAGTGTCTAACAATATTTCCCCATGCTCTTAATGTCTTAATTGGTCTTTGAAGAAGTAGACAATCCATTTGTCCTTCTACCCATAATTTACACCCTTTTACAAACCCAGTGAAATGCTATTTTGGTATTTCTATCACTGAACTACAGTGATAAATTGCCTTGGTGTAAGATCAGTAGGAGCAGCGTAACGGATGTGCAGGAGACTGCATTACTGACTTGCTCTTGCCAAAATGGAGCCCTGCCATGAAGTTCAGAGGGATCACGAGCTGCCCGGGATATCCCCATGCTTCCAACAGTCCGTCAGTGCTAACAGGGTTTTGGAGCACAGTGCGTCAGGAGATGATGACAGGAGAGCAAAAGGAAACTTCCCTCCTTGCTCTGCTCGTTCTCACCACAACTTTCCTTTCCACCCCTCTCTTCCTGTAGTCCACTTTTCTTTGTCCCCACCAGTTCCACACACACTGAGTTGATCATCTCCCTATCCAAAACGCAGTCATGTAAATAAGATCAGCAGCACCATTTCTGTTAACAGATGGATAAATGGGAAAGTCTGTGCAAATCCCTGCCGGTAGTTAACCCTTCATTAGAGGCCAGGAGGAGGTTCAGGAAAATTCCAGTGCATGTTCACTGCTTCCATCCAGCTATCAGAAAACCTGTGGGCCTGCTCCTGCTCAGCACCCCAAGCTCTCTTCTACACCCACCACACTCAGCGCAGGCGCTCAGCAGCACTGCCAGCCCCAGCTATTTACTCAGCACCACCGTAGACTAATCAGATGGCAGTAAAAGCTTTTACTGTGCCATCCTGTTTGTGATCAGCAGAAACATAAAAAGCATGTTAGCAAATTGATTTTTGGCATTAATTGTGAGCAAAGAGCATTATCCCGGGTACCGATACTTCTTTTTTTCAGGCAGAAAAATTCTATTTTAGTATTTCTGAAGTGCTTCTGGAAGATGCCGAGATAAGCCCAGTGGACACACTTTTCAAATACCATAAGGCAAAGAGTAGTTACTGAATCTCATCAGTATTATTAGCTTACATAAACATAAAAATTTGAATAATGTTGAAAAAGCTAAATTCTCCAGATAATCCGTAATCAGTAAGCGTTCATTACCGAGATGCAGCAGATATGCACGAGATTTCCCCGGTGATGTTCTGCTTACAGGACTTGAACGGGGCAGCAGAGCCGCTCCGCACAGCCCAGGCACAGCGGCTGTGGGCACCTTCCCAGCCCCACTCGGCGCGGGGCACCAGGGCTCACTGCCTCACTGCACAGCTCTGGAGGTTCATAAAGAAATCAGCCCTGTGCAGTGATTGATGGCTCCGTATAAATAATTAAGTCTTGACCTTATGTTATGACACTTTTTGGTGCTTGGAAGCAACGCTCAGAAAACATCCCTGACGCTGGATAAATAAGGGTGGGATGAGATTCGGGGGGAGGGGAGACGGATTTTTGTTTGCACTCATTTTGTTCTGTTTGATTCCATCAGCTAATTGACGATGATGATTATTAATCTCTGTTGCTGTCTGCGCTACGGATTTAATTCCTATCGGTGATTGCTGTTGGAAGTTTGCTCCATCAGAGCCACAGTTTGATTAGGTTTCAGCAGCCCCAGTTCCAGAGCTCCACACATTGGGTGCTGTGACCCAGGCACTTGACACCAATTTTTGTTCCCGATTTACTTCGCCCAGTAGTAGCGCTCCAGCAGCCCCCTGCTGCTGTCCCCGTGCTGGAGCAGGGCCGGTAGCAGGTGTCAGCTGAAGTTTCATTTGGAAGCTCACGAATTCAAAAGGAGAGCTTAGCAGTTATCCCCGACACAGAGCTGCTGTGGCCTGCTCCTGGAAAGGAGAAATCCCGGGGACATGGAAGGAATTGAAGAGATGCCAGGCAGCTGGCGGGGTGAAACCTTCCCGGGATGAGCTGAGGACAGCCCTCATCACATGGCAGCACCGTTAACAAACAAAAGGGATTAGAGGCTCTAATTCCCATCTTCACTTATGAGACTGCGCACGTTTCCCATTCATCCCTCTCTGGTACTGTGCCTATTCTCTGAAGAGCTGCAACTTTTAAATCTGGCAATAAAATATGAGCGGTTTGGGGTAAGCTTCTAACATAAACAGAACAAAAAGAGAGCATCTCTGGTTTTTGCAAGCATGTAATCTGCACACAGCACAGATCGGCCGCAGGCAAAGCAGTATCCATTGAATAGGGCTTTCCTAACCGCTCCAACCGCGCACACACACGGGGCTCCGGCGGGTCCCGCTCTGTCCCCGGCCGGCTGCTCGCGCACTGCAGCCGGGCAGCCCCAACCGCGGATGGGCCGGGACCGCCCCGCCCCGCCCTGTCGGCGGTCGTGCCTCCGGGTGCCCGGTTTTCCAGCGGAGGGGCGCGGGGCCGTCGGGACGCACCGACCGGGACCGGAGACAGACCCGCAGCCCCCGTTCCCCTAAGCGGTAACTCCCGGCACAAACAGCGCATCAGTGCCCCTTTCTCTGATGCACAACGCGAACTCCGGGCGAACTGCATTTCCAAGGCACTGAGCTGCCGCCGTTCACAAACTAGTTTCTTTCGCATACCTACGGAAAACGACCCGGACCCGGTCGGAGGAGGCACGTTCCCAGAGCAGCACCGGCTCCGGCCCCACCCCGCTCCCACCGCCCCAGGTTGCGCTCCCGGTGCGGCCGCTCCGAGCCCCGAGCCCGCACCCGTCTGGCCGCCGCTCTCCGCGCAGCCCCCGGCGCTGGCATCCGCGGCCCCGAGACGGGGTCCGGGCGACCCCGCCGCAAGTTCGGGCACTTTCCCGAAGTGACGCGGGGAAAAGTTGGGGCGCGGGTGGTGGGGACCCGAGCGGGGAGCGAGCCACTCACCTGCGCCGCCCTCAGCGCATCCTCCGCTCCGCGCGGCCGCGGCTCGGCGCTGCTCCGCGGGCGGGAGGAGGCAGCGCGGCGGGACGAGCTCCCGCAGCTCCGGCAGCC